AAAATCAGATCGCGTTTGTGAAAAAAAAATCAGATTTTGTGAAAATCAGGTCGTGTTTGTGAATATCAGATCGTGTTTGTGAAAATCAGATAGTGTTTGTGAAAATCAGATCGCGTTTGTGAAAAATCAGATCGTGTTTGTGAAAATCAGGTCGTGTTTGTGAATATCAGATCGCGTTTGTGAAAATCAGATAGTGTTTGTGAAAATCAGATCGCGTTTGTGAAAATCAGATCGCGTTTGTTGTGAATATCAGATCGCGTTTGTGAAAATCAGATAGTGTTTGTGAAAATCAGATCGCGTTTGTGAAAATCAGATCGCGCTTGTGAAAATCAGATCGCGTTTGTGAAAATCAGATCGCGTTTGTGAAAATCAGTTAGTTTTTGTGAAAATCAGATCAGAAACGACTCTTCAGAAATCAGACAGCAGAGTCTGCATCTGAGAACGACTCTTTCTCTTGCTAAAATCAGCGAATGGCTCGGCCTCTCCCGGCTCACCGCTTTATTAGACAATCTTTCCTGTATGTTATATAATATTTGTTCATTTAAATCTGCCATGTCGTGTCTGATTGTAGAAATACCGGATCAGACCGCTGAGGATTATGAAAACCAGGACATGAAGCTCAAACACATCTAGAAAAAAAAGAAACGAGTGTGGTGAGTATCTGTCATCTGTGTGTGTGTGTGTGTGTGTGTGTGTGTGCAGGATAATCACATGCCTTCAGTTCCTCTATTTTTGGACGTGTCGTCTCTTCTCGAGCGTGTCGTGGATCTGTGAAGGTGTCTTGATTGAACTCTTGACAGGCCTGACAGCAAAGCCCAACTCCTCCTCAGTCATTTCCTCGAGCGAAGGAAATAAACTCATTTTTGAGAAGCGTGTTTGTCTTGCACTTTACCTTTGATGACCTGACAGCACGGATGCCATCTGCATGTTAGCTGCACATTAGCATGGGTTTAGCGGCACCCCACCCGACAACGTTCAGTTTGGAACTAATGGCGCGTTGCACAGTTAAAGCGCAGCTGGTTCTGCTAGCATATGCTCGTGCGGGTCTTTAGCTGCTGTTTGATGATCCCGTGTTGAACTGTGTTTGTGGAGCGACTCAACATCTGGCGGCATGTAAGCGGGTTGTGACCTGAGCGAATCGCTGGACGGTCGACACGCTGCAATCAGACGCAGCTTTAGCGCAGGCACGCCGGGCGGACCGGTAACCCGCTAGAGGAGATTACTGAGACTCTGTTTCACTCGGTATTAGCTCTGGCACTCATCTGTTCTGCTGTTATTGTCCGAGTGTGAAAAGCAGACCGTGCACGTAACGAGGAGCGATTGATATCGGATCGCACGCAGCCCTGGATAGGAATAATCGATTTTTCAGAGTAAATATTGACTCCTGGCCGAGGATGTTTTGCGGGCCTGTGCTGAACTGGTGCAGAAAAACTCCCTCCCTCCTGGAAGACGACGGTCCAAACTGCACTTAATGTGAAGTCAGAGAGTAAAACGCACAATGCCTGGGAAGCTTTTCAATAATTAATGGGCTCTCTCGTAAAAAATCCATCTCTGCGAGAGTGGAGTGATGGTGTTGAGATGACGTCTGTGCACAGCAGCACTTTACTCTCGTCTGTTTGAGTGCATGTTTGCTCTCATCAGAGTCCAGACCAGAAAAGCATTGACTGTATTAAACATCCATCGTAATGAGCCACGTCTGCACGAGATCAAAACTACATCAGAAAAACTTGCAGCGATGATGATGATGAACGTGGCTTCATCAAGTTCAGTCTTGTGCCATAAATAATTTTGCAGCTCATTTTGACCATATTGTGTTTTTATGTTATGTTTTCACACCATATATTAATGTTAGATTATTTCTAGTGTATTTCTGTCAGATGTTCTGCACATTTTCACCTGTTACAGAAGCGCATCGTATGGCCAGTTTACAAACCTTTAAATATCAAATACTAAGAAATGCAATTTTCCCATATTCTTCCAAATGCTGTCCCAACGAGTCAAACAAAGTCTGAAAAAAGAATTTCATATTTCTGAAATGTCAAGGGTTTGTGATTTCCCAGCATGCATTGCAACATGAATAAATGATGCGTTTGTTTTGTCATTATTGTTGGTTATTTGTTGTGTTGTGATGTTTGTACATTTCTTGATTGTGTTTGTACAGTTAACAATATCTTGGATATATTGGCTTTATTGGATGATTGTTCCTTTACAAACAAAGACTGCATAGTTCAGATTAACAGATTAAGTGTCTCATAAGACTATACTGTATATGGCTATCAAGTCAATTAATTTATTTATTGTGTAACTAAATGAAAATTTGCTGGCTGAATGAGGCATTTAGTGAACAAACAAATTCAAACTGACAAAATAAAGTAAAGTGTGTGTGTGTGTGTATAAGTGTTTGTGTGTGTGTGTGTGTGTGTGTGTATGTGTGAGTGAGTGAGTGAGTGTGTGT